CAAAAAAGTTGTAAGCGTTCAAAGTTTGCATGCAAACTTTGAACGCTTACAACTTTTTTGGTAGACTCATTTTGCAGTTTTAATTTCCATATTTCTTAATAACTTTACAAGCCCTATCGATATACCTAGGTCTCCATTCAAAGTTCCATGGGAAGTTGAAACCCTTCCCTGGTTAGAGGAGACCTCGGAAGTTGATCGTTGTGCTCACTGCCGAGTGCCCGTGAGTTTGCTCGTAATTTTTTCATCCTGAGTGCTTTCTCGGTCAAAAGCTTGTATTCGAATGGAAAGGTGGCACGGGTTTGCTTCTCATCAGTAAGTTCTGCTCATTACGGAGTGGCCTATCTAAACCGTACCTAGCCAACACGTCAGAACCTGGAAAGCTACTTTTGCTTACGCGAATTTCGAAAACAATCATAGAATCGAACCGGAAAATAAAATATGGCGGAAAGAATGGCCGTCGAACTATACAATACATTCTCGTTTTAGCACAATTAAGACGATGTTACTAAAGCAGGAGCGCTCAAGAGTCTTCGGCCAACCGCTTCGACGCTTTTTCGTTCATAACTTTTTTCTTAGTGGAGCAAATATCGCGAAATTTGGATATGTTTCACCAGAGTATATTTCACACTATACAACACTATTTGACTGCGAACAGCAATATCCACACAACTAAGAGAAAGGATTTGTTGCGATAGTAGACTTCGCCAAAAGCAAAGTTAGTGACGTCTGCAGTCATTCGCACATTGTATAGGTTTTCTGCTCTACTGAATTCGGCATTGGCCCTTGTACACTTTAGGAATGACAAAAAGAAAAAATATTTCAGAAGGACCATTATCATCATTCTCAGTTGATTTTGAGTTCAAGCTCTTTAGTATATCTGGAACATGATCAGATTGCAGGCTAATGGTGGTAAATATTCGCAATACACCCGCGTTAGGCATATCGAAATGCTGCATGATCAAATCAGTAGGAAAGGAGTTACGACTGAAAAGTACGGCTGGAAAAGCATTTGGCCGAAGATTTTTGAGTGTTACTGTATGTCCAGGTCGAAAAAACACCACGAGCGACGAGCACAACTCTAAAGCTTACGACAGAAAATTACCAGCATTGGCAGCACTTGAAAACACACTCAGCGATAATTTTGAAGAAACTAGTATAAATGAACTGGGTGAAGGTACCGTGCACAATAGTCGCGGAATTTGAAAAATAAGCGATTTGATAAAGTTTGTAAAAAGGTGGCTGTGGGGCAGAATAGGCATGACAGTTGTGTTTGGACGAGCCATGAGTTGGTCAATTGCGTAAAGAATTGGAGACAACGGAACAAAAGTGCCGAAATTGCTTTTCACTGGGCACATTCATACGGTGATTTCACTACTATTATATAAAACACCCTTCATTTTACCGAAAGCTTTACATGGAGTAGTGACCTAGTCTCGTAGCGTACACCATCAGGTTTGCTACAAAAGGATACGGTGATCCCTTCATGATAGCACTTTTCCAAATGTCGACTGTTTCGTGCGTTACCCCGATTAACAGTTTGGATACCAAGTCACCGATACATTTCATCGAACCTCACTAGTCAATAGATCTCCGTATTCCAAAGCCGGTTTCATTAGTCGATGTGGGATAATTCCTGACAGGTTCTCGTCAACTGCGAATCGACGCCCCCCGTACATCCATGACCGAGCCTTTCAGCTTGCCAATTGTGAAAACGCAATGCGATTACCTGCAATTGTTGCAAATCCGTCAAACAACAATACCTCATTAAAGGTGGGTGCGTCAAAATTATAGCGACAAGTGGATGCATCAAAATTAGAGCTGCAAGGTATTCGAATCGTCTCGAACGACTTATTTACAGTTTCACCGAACTTCCAATGCAACAACGTTCATTGTTCACTTCAAAATCAGAAATATTCAACGGATCTCGAAAATTCCTCCGTTGGCCTCGACGCAAGCGTTGAGAAAAGCTCAGGGAAAGCAACGACGGTGGCACGCAAGTATCGCACGTTGAGCTTGTCCCACGTCTTCTCAAGAGCTCTTTTTAGCGAATCCACAGAGCGATGAGGTTTCGCGCAAGCCTCTGCCTCGAGAACGGCCCAAGCGCTGTAATTCATGGGATTTATGTGCGGGAAGCAAACCCGCCTTTCGTTAAAGGCGATTACGTCGGGAAGGTTTTCTTTGCACCATTGTTGCGCCGTAGTCGAACTGTGTTGCGGGGGCCCCGTCCCGCTGGAAGGTACAGAAGTTGCCAAAGTGAGAATTAGCCCAGGGGAGCAATTTATCCTTCAAAATGTCCAGACAGTTTTGTCTATCCTCTTTAGTCCCATCAGGAACGAACCACGGTGGTGTCTTGCAAGCCGTGATTCCAGCAAAAACCATGACAGAAGCAGGATGAGAAGAACGGCCTGCAGTCGCGTGCGGGTTCGAAACAACATAGACGTGGTCGTTCTGCTTGTTGATCACCTGTTCTACTGTGAACAACTTCTCCTCCGTGAATAGATCCCTCATCCTCATCCCTTTGATGCGTCTGTTCCTTAATCTTCTGAACAGCACCCTTGATCGTTCCTTCTTTACTTCTTTCTAAACATCGGTGAGTTTTTAACACTTATCTGTCTCTACGCCTTCAATCCTAGCATATTATTCCTCTCAGCGAACTCTCATTGATGTCCAATTCTCGCGACTTTTGCGAGCCGAGTGCGACGGCTGTCTCCGAATCCTCTTACGTACCTTTTTTATATTACCCGTGGTAGCGACGGTGGCACGCCTTCCTCTTCCGGATCGGTTCCTAGCTCCCTGTAGCGTTTAATGGTCCTGTAGATGACACTGCGATGTACACCAAAACACTGGTGGATTTCACGTGCCGAAACTCCTTGGAGATGAGGTTTGATGATTGCAGAGCGGTAGCAGGATGGCTTAACCACTGTGGCAATAATAAATTTGAGCGGTCAAATAGCTTGGATGTGGTCACGTCAACACTAAAACAGCGAGGGACGCCGAGACAAAAACAGTGATTTTAAAAAGAGGTTCAAACAGCGCACGCATGTGCTCGCGCCGTAATTATGACGCTCCCTGTACCTCATTAAAGTTCTATGGGATTCAGACCTGCACTACATGTCGAATACTCCATAACTTCGATTCCTGGTTGGAGGCTCACAAAAGTTGAACTGATAGCGTGGTCGTTTGCATTGTCCTACTGGAAGACCACTTTGTGCTGTTTCCATCAGTAATGAATAACAATATGTTGTACTCGGGATTATCTAGATACTTTTGTGAATACATTCGTCAGCTAGCAAGTGCTAGCTCCAGCTTTTTGTGTCACCAGGTTGCTTACCAAACCATAGACGGCCGCCTTCGAAGGTCCGCAGACCAGCAGCATCGACGGCCGCCGGGCCCATCCAAATTGATAAGTCTTTTGGTCGACAAAAATTATCGGAATACAGGAAATCATTCTGCAACGTAAAATGCACCGCTAATTTTACATCAGAACCTGCTTCCAATCTATTGAAACGTGTCATCGAGCAAACACAAGACGGGAATATTCGTGGCACTTTTTTCATAACTTCTCGTACAGTGTCACTGNTACGTTCGATAGCTATCCAGACAATCGATTTCGAGATAAAGCGCCTGAAGTGCGCTAGGATTTGGTTGACACTGTGGCTAGTGTTGGAAGCTTGCTTCCAACTTTGCCGTCGTTTGCCGTCCATCTCTCGCAGACTGCTTTCTCTTTCCTTCATTCCACCAATACTGTAGATTTCGCGATATTTGATGTAAAAGCAGTGAACACACAGACCCCTTTCGAGTTGCCGGCATTGTGCAAAGTCGGTTCTCGGATTTTTCTGCGGTTTCAACAGGGAAACACGTGACACCGCGACAAGACAATTTTTCAATGCTTGTGGTTAAAGTGTATTTGGGTTGGAGCGAGAAAAATGTTTTAGAGAGTATACATATAGGGCAGAATGAATGAAATTCGGAGAAATGCTTGCTCTGAAAAAATTCAAACAGGCTAATATCTAAAAGCATGTGCAGGGTGTCTTTAAATTATTTGCGCAAATTCACGGCAATATATTTGAAGCTTCTTAGCATCGAAAGATGATGGAATTTTTATGCACGTTGGCTAATACCATTTGCTACAAAACGCTACAGTCACATATCAATAAACCCCTTAACAGCGCGGAAAGAAGCCCAAAGTTTGCTCCCGACCAGATCGCATGTGGCACGCAGGTATCCTTCCCCATTTCTCCCAGCCGTTCTTCACTCTCACTTTCTGGGTCTCCAAACTGGAACTGCAAACTCGACAGGTCCTCTTCTAGTCAGAAACCATACGGGGTAATCAAGTGAGTGAAGTTCTGGAAAATAGGACGGCCATTACTTCTTACTGATGAGGTCGGGCATTTGTCGTCGGCACCACTCGCGGGTAAGCTTGGCTCTGTGGGCTGGAGTAGGGATCTGCTGGAAGGACTACAGGGAACTTTAGGAAACGTTGTCGGACCAGTGTTTTATTACGTCCATCAGTACGCTCTTTGAGTACTGGTCTTGATCAATTTTCACGCCGACAACGAAGAAACCACGACCATCTCACCCTTGCCTGTAACTTCTTCAAAAAACAAAAAGTATTTTACTGTTTTTATGGCAATCTTTTTGTGAGAAATCGCACGTTAGATATTTCTTTCTAGAACGCGAACGTTTTGGTTGTTGAGGGATGGTTTCATCGCAAAAAGTTTTTTATCAAGAGAAAACGATGAAAGCTTGCGTGTCGTCACACAAGTGGGTCTAAGACTTTCTGGATTTTTTCACCCTACACTGTCTGTTGAGACCGGAAGTGAAGTGCCCGTAGACTTCCTTTTGATGGGTCACCCAGGATCCCGACCTACTGGCAGACGAACCATTTTAATAGTCCTAATTTTAGTAACTTCAGGGTTTCTACCTCTTGCTGGTTTGTCTCCAATTCAGTCCACTTTTTTGAATAGTTTAATAGTCTCCTACACAATTATTATAAAAATCCCAAGGAATTTCATGATGCCCTTTTACCTCTCTCGCGTCAATGATTGCAAGTGGCAATGAATGAGCCTCCTCCATCTGAAAGATAGTGGGAGTTCCACATCAGTAACCATGCATATTGCAAGGAAAACTTCTTATGCAACTGATTAATGGCAGGTAATGTGAATTTGAAAGATTATGTCAACCTTAAAAATTTCTGAAATTTTGGCGCGCATAGCTTTGGGACACCCTGTATATCACTGTTTGTAGCAAACCTGATGGTGTATGGTGCAGACTTTAGTCGGCCGTGAGATTGACTGCGACAGCAATAACACCAATAGTAGATAACAATGACGAAGTTCATTGGCGTTCACTTGACAAGAGGCTTAATGTACAGCAAAAGGCCTGACGAGGTGACAATGGCTGCGATCGTTGTGTTACTCTCGTGCGACTGACAAGACGGCGGCTTAGTAATGTGACGAGTGATGTTGAGTTAAGTGCGACGTCGACTACGGTACGGTCTCTGCCTAGTTGTGACCTTTTTTGCTGCGGAGGTGGAAGATCAGTGCAAATTGGTAAATTATACCTCACTTAGTAAAAAAAAACTCAAGGATCTAGCTCAAGGGAAAGTTACCAGTTACATAGAAAATTCGGGACAAGCGGAAGAGATGTGCGAGGCCTCCCGCCGCTCCCCATTTGGGTGATGGCGTTCGTTGTGATGAGCCAACTACTGTCCTCGCCTACGAAAGATGCCTCACACTGCTTATTTAATGATAACACGGAATGAAGTTCGACTGCGTCGGAAGAAACAGAGTGGAAAAGTATTCGACGTTAGTTCGTCTCTTTTTTTCTAGGGGATAGGAAGAAGGGAAGCACACAGTCATACAGGAAGCGCGCAGTAAGACAGGAGGCCGAAGAGAGCGTGTCCTGCTATCTACAGCCTCCTGTCTTACTGCGCGTGCTACCTTGCGTGCTCTACGCAAGCGTGCGGATATTCTTCCAACGGAGAGTCCCTGTGCAAATGATGGTTGCGATAGCAGAACGCAGTGCCGTGCGTAAACAGCTTGTCAGTTCATAAAAACCTGCAGAGTCTGCGATTAGGTGGCTGCAAGCATGCTGCGTCGAGATGGTACCATCTGCGCTCAGAGCATCTTTTGTTGCGGGCCTGGATTCTATTAATATTGCTTAAACTAGGCATCACTGCGCATTTCATGGAAAAAAGCTTCTAAAGTCAGAAGGAACAAAGCGTGTAGGTCGAGGTCTGGGATTCATCTGACACGTGCGAACTCTTCTTTCAGCTTTCCTGCAGGCGTATGCGTAGATGTGGATCCGTCTGCTGGCGAAAATCGAAGGCTTCGATGCTGTGCGCTTATCCCTGTGCGGGTGGTGGTCCTGATAGTGCGGAAATGCAAGTCCATGAAGGTCGAAAAGGCGAACGAGATGGTGTTGAAGTACGCTCTCCACACACAGGAAAATCAGCTCATTGGCAACTGTGCGCATTCGTGACGGTGACGGCTGCGCGGCTGATGGTGTTGCCTACACGACGGTGACAAAGATGGCCTGCGAGCATGGTATAGCTGCCTGCGCTACTCATATTCCTGGTGGCTGCGGTGCTCGTATCACTGCAATCTGCTTTACACTCACTCATGACACTGCAGTCTGCGATCAATCCTCGTTTTTTCACTACATCTACCCACCCACGCAGAACCACAACTCTTCTCTTCCCTGCGATGGATGTCGCCCGGACCAGCGTGGTTCCTTCTCCTGCGATAGATGACGCGTCTGGGATTGACTGCGCCCGCGCGAGTGTCGAGGTATAATAGTAGCTGAGCCGAGTACTGAGTACTGCTTCTGGACAGTGGAAAGAGGGATACTTTCGGAATCGACTTTCGTTCTCGCTTCGATGCGCGAAACATTCCATCTGGTGAGAACTCGAGCAGGCCAAGCTGAGTCCCTGGCAGCGCGGGCTGCTGAGATGTTGACTGCGCCTGTGGGGATGTTTGCAACTGCTCCGATTGCCACGATTGCCAGCGAGTCAAGTAATCCTCGAGCACAAATTACCTGCATCATGAAACACTGACAAACTTTTTCGTTCTGAAAAGAAGGAATGTGACATGCGTAAACGACTGACATATTATTGCGCAAACTGATGTGACTACTGTGAAAGTGTGAAATCACGAAAATACTACGAAACGGTTGAATACGAAGTGAGTAATAGGATGATGTAGTTTCAGTGGCGAGTTATCACTATTAAGGTCACTCCAATGGTATGTCTAAAGAACTACGAGATAATCAACTACGGAAAACTGTTACTGCGAGCATAGTGCATGCTTGCGAAAGCTAACACTGCACCAAGAAAGAATGCGCAAAAAGGAGTTCATCGTCTATGTACGCCGTGAACTTTTAAAGCAGCAGGGAGGCGATTACAAGATTTATAACAAGGATGAACGTACGCTCTAAAGGAACTCATCGCAGCCCTGCATGCGTAAAAGAAAGAAAAAGAACGCTAAGTATGAAAAAATAAGTTGCGAGGTTGAAAACACAAATAAAATGTATAAAAACAAAATGGAAAATACATTAGAAACGCCCCGTGCGAAAACAGTGCACGCATGCGGCTCCAACCTGAGGCTAAAGTAGTAAAAGCAGACCGATCATCCGGCTGGTAGACGTCGTTGGCGGATAGATTACAGAGACGCAATAATGATGGAGCGATAATACAGATAGTATAGTGTCAATCATGACCGATGATGAAGCTACTGCATCGTCTTGTGTCGATCTCGCCATACCAGGGTGTTTCGAAACACATATGTACCTCGTAACGATGATATTTGCGGCTTGAACTGAATGCGTGCGTACGCGAAGCGTGCAGCGCTAGAGCAGGTAGTGCGCCCTCGGACGCTACGGAATTGCAAAGAACTTGATTGCCCACGCTCTTGACCGAGCGAAACTTATACTTGCCTAGCAGAAGTGGAATTGTGGCGAGAACGTGGCTGTTTGCGTCCGTTATCTGGTGTTGTGGGTGCGTTTCCTGCGTCTACGCGAAGGACGCGGAATGAGCGTGGCTTGAATTTTTACGGCGACCGTTTGAATCTGATTGAGTGGCAGGACATTTTCTTGTTCGTCGACTTTCATAAAGCACTCCTTCCCAGAACCCAGGGAATTGAGCGCGGAAACTATAACGCTTCCTGCTCCGTGTATGGTGGTCAGGCTCTTGCTAGACTATATGACCTTCACGCGCAACGAACACGAATTGCAAGTTGTAATACCTGCGTAGAAATATACACTTCGTTCAAACTGACAACTGCCTTACCGTAAGCGGAATAAGATAATCTATGCCAATGTTCTGGAAGGGTTCTGGAGGCTATGCCAATGTTATGGAAAGGTCGTGACCTCTTAACACGTAATGGCGGCAACTGTTGCATAACCGGATACCGATAAGCATCTTGCGGATCTTTCTGCAGAAAACGAATTAACGAAGAACCTCACCTGCATGAGTACGTAAATGTGGAATGAGAAGTCGTAGGCGATGATTAGCTGTAGTATATGTATTAACCTGAATGATGGTTTAGTGTACGATAACGAAGTCGAATGATTTATGCCAATGTATATGTTGGCAGTACTGAAATAGATGCTTGGTCGTGTGGATCTACGCGCGAAGTATAACATATGAAATGGTCTTGTGCTCGCTCGGCCTTGAGGCTTAAGAGATTTAAGCGATCTAGAAATGAATTACTCTTGCGATGATGCGTGTGTATGAATCGACGACGGTATATACTTACAAAGCTACAAATGCGCTAGTTAAAAAACTGCCGCTACAAATTTTTGCCTAATGTTATAACGCGTATCCTGCGACACGCGGTCAAAAATCTACCTGATCAGAATTTGGTTATTATGTGAATGAGCATCTAATAGGCATTACTTCCAGCGGCAAAACTAATTAAAACTCATATTGCTGGATCGTGTGCGCATGAAAATATTGCTTCTTCAGTTTCTCGCTTATTACAGTCGGAATTTGGAAGTTAAAATGCGTACTGGGATATTGACTGGAAGGGCTGCACAGAAAGTTAGGTTCATGCCACCGAATGTGATTTTACATTTCCTCCGTCGTTGATATTGACAGGAAAGCATAAATACGTGAGCTCATGCTGTCGTCGAGTGGTGGGTGGTCTGCCTGGTCTGCAGGCGAAGCAAACTTGTAAAAATCCTGGGTAAAGCTTCCGTGCAATTTGGGGTTTGCGGGTGGTGGTCGTCAAATATACCAAGAAAGTCTAAGGATCATAGCATTCTAATGCCAGAAAAAAGCAGGTTCCTCAAGACGACTTTTCCAAAGTGTCAATACCAATATGAATATATGGAAGAATTGACTGTGACTGATGCGAGGGCAATGGCAATCCTGAACTGTGCTGTGGAAATTGACTACGGTGGTCGTTTGCTTGCTAGTGAGCTCTAAGATAAACTATCATGCGAATCTTCAAAAATTGGCTGCACGATGCCTCAGAATTCCGTGTTCGAGTGACCTCCAAAAGCGATGAGGATGCGCGGACGACCGACTATCAGCAACTTTGAGGCCTAAGCCATTCGCTGAGCCTTGGTCTCTGAATCTTGCGTGTGCTACGGAGTCGAGGAACAAGGTGAATTCCTCAGAATTCGTGTAGTCACAGATGAAGGCTGGGTTCTCTACAAGCACGAGCGCAGATCTGCGCGGTTTCGTGAAAGAAAAAGTAGATCTGAAGCATTACAGCACTAGAGGGGCACCGAAATGGACTGCGTTTTGGTGTAGATGAAGAAAGCGATAAGTACTGAGTACTTACAACATAGCTTTGTGAACCCCCGACCCTTTGTTTGGACACAACGATGTTGTCCGAGCTGCTTCATGACCTGATCGAGTGATCGAGGTTGGAATTTGTTCGCCTTCAGAACTCGGGATCAGCTCTGAAGATCCTTCTGGACTTACGCTGGAACTTGCTTCTGACCAAGTTATAAACACATAGAATCGTGCGAAAATTCTAACCATAGAGAATATCTGAGAGACGAAACCAAGTGTTCCGGAGATCCGATCCGATAGTGCGGAACAGTGAAGCTGTTGAAGATATCTCTGAAGGGTGGCACGTGATCATGATCTTCTTGACGACGTACTTCTTGCATCATACCTAATGTTGATAAGATTACGATTGAAATATCCTTGTGCCGTGCGAGGTTGTAAAGAATTCAAAGGCTAAAAGCCTGAACGGATGAATCAAATGATCAGAGCGGAACGATAAAGGAGCCCAAAGCTCAGCAGTAAGGGTACGAGCAAAGGACAAATCGTAGTTTCGACTCCCACCAAGTACGAACACCAGTGATGGTAAAATGCATGTCAAGCAATCGAAAAAATGATGGCCCCGACTAGTTGTGCTATTCTATGCTAACAACTAGAAAGGGTGGGTAACAAGTGGACGGGAGAAATGAAAACCTTACTGACTTCAATGACGATCGCTTTCTACAGTTCACTGACGCCTGCAACTGCTTCTGTCCTTCTTCCTTTTCATAAATCCCCATAGGTTTTCAATTGAATTCAAGTCATGGCTGTCAGTTGGCCCGGGAAAAAGGTCAACTTGGTACCGACTAAACCGGGCCTGGGTGCTCCAACTGACGTGAAAAGGGGTGTTACCTCGCATGAATACAAGGTTTTGCTACCTATTCTGATACCAAGGAAGAAGAGCACGGCGCACTACGACACGATAACCCGAACAGCTGAGCTTCTTTGAAAGAAGCCATAAATGTAGACGTCTACGTAAAGAAGTTGACCATGACTCCATACCATGACTCCTTCTCCCTTTAAATTTCGCCTGGAAAACTTAGGCTTATCCTTTCTCAGATCGTACCAGTAAAATCGACTTCCATCTGTGGCATCAAGTTAAACTTTTCCATCAAAATAAAACAACCTGGAAAACGAAACAACAAGAGAAAGAAGAGTAAACGACAAGTCATGAAAGGAAATTACTTACTTACTCCTGTCGGTTTGGATGCAATTCCTAGCGAAAGTGATCAGGCTAGAGGTCGAGGAAAAGCAACGCTATAACAGGCATTACCTGTTATAGCTATGCTTTCCAGTAGTGAAGAATACCTTACTCATTTTCCGTCAGCAATAAACTCAGACGTTTCTATTACGTTCCAGACAGTAATCATTGGGACACTGAGCTTCAAAGAGGACGTGATTTTCGCACGTGGATATGTTGTATTCGAGTTCCTCCTGAAATTCTTCGCTTATATCCTTCCGAAAGTAACGATAAACGTCGCTTACTTTTTTTGGATCCATATTCTGTGTAGGATTCCTAACGAAATTGTCGACAAATCAGTTGCATCGGCCCAAGTCTCGAGCGATTCTGCGATTCGACAGTCTCTGCCCATCCTTGCAGGAGCATAATCTTTCTCAAAATCCGATAGCAACTTTTCTTCAACCATTACCTGGAATTGAAAAAATTGACAAAAATCTAGTAATTGTGTGAGGTGAAAATGGAGAACGGTCGGAAAATATTAGGTGGCTGTATCATATTGCAACATAGGCAAAGTGACCTTTTCCGAAAAAAAATAAGGGGAAATTGCTCATGTTATTGAGATGGAACTCGTTGGATCCGAGTAGTACATAAATTACACATTAAGCCTTTTCCCGAAGTGCCCTGAAATGTGAGTTTTGGTAAAATTTGTGGGTGGTTGTATCATTATGCATCGCAGTATATTTTGTAATAGAAGTGGCACAGGAACCGAAATTTCTAGATGTCCCTGTCCATCATGAATTCGAGCAAATTTTTTTAGATACGGTGCGTTGAAGAAGTTGCATGAAATAGGAGGCACAGCACCACCTGGAAACACAAGGGATGAACGCAGAAATAAGAATGGCTTCATCGAAATTAAGGTAACCGTACCAGTTCTCACCTGCACGTACCGTAATCTGTGGACTGCCTTCGTAATAGGAAACCACTTATCCTTTTTGTTCCTTATGATGTACTTGCCGAAAAGAAGGTCTTCAAATGCCATAAGATCTAGTTGATTACCTTTTAATTCTGCAGGCCTTCCTTAACCTAGGCTGCAACAATTTACCCAAAACTTTCGGTGAAAGACAAAGGTGAGGGATCGATAATCACAAAGAACCTACAGTAGCGCTCAAAAGTCTTCGGTGAAATGCTTCTTCAGTCGTACTTTTCAGTCGTAACTCCTTTCCCACTGGATCTAATCATGCGAAATTTTGATGTGTAGCATGGGTGTATTGTGAATATTTATCACTATTAACCCGCAATCTGATCATGTTCTAGATATTCCAGAGAGTATGAACATAAAATCGACTGAAAATGCAAATGATGGTCCTTCTGGAATTTCCTCCCCTTTTGTCATGTCCAAAGTGTACGAGCGGTAACGAACGAACACAATAGATAAGAAAAACGCACACAAGGTGCGAATAAGTGCAGACGTCAACAACTTTAGTTTTATCAAAATCTGCTACCGCAACAAACACATAGCTCTATCTGTGGATATTGCAGCTTTGCAGCCAAGTAGTGTTTGTCAGGGTAAAATATGCTCTTGTGAAACATATCCAAATTTCGCTCGGTTTGGTCTATTAAGAAAAAAGTTATGAACGAAAAAGCCGTAAAGCATTTCACTGTAGACTTTTGAGCGCTACTGTACATATGTTGAATTAGACAGCAGAATCGCTCGAAATATTCGACATCATGTCGCTATAAGCAAAACTTCTGTGCAGGAGACTTATCGAGCTTATACACTGTAAGGATTCACACCGTTAAGCTGCACAGTGTTTTAGGGCAGGGGACAGTG